TGTTAGCCAGACGGTCAGACCTAGCATGCACATGTAGGGTGTGCTTGAATTGGGTCACTATTAGCGTGCTGGCCGGGTGGTGCAGTAAATCAGTGATTCATTAAGGTAGATAAAACCTTTTTAAAACTACAAGGTAGTTACAACATTAACCCTTAAACGTAGGCTACTTCTTCATTACATGTAATATTGTAACGTTATAAACTGCTGCTGGGACAGCACGGTTTCAACTGTACCAGGGGCGTCGCCTGGACCTGGAAACATTCGGGGCTTAGCCCACAGTGGCGGCGCTACAGTCAAATGTTCTACTGCAAGACTCCCCAAACGCACATACACAATTGCGCCATCTAGTGTCACAAACGTATGCCTGCATTAGCTTTGTTACGGCAATGGATTGTGGGAGATTCTCATAGCACGTGAGGATCTCTTGAGGGTAAGGTGCCTGTATTATGTCGGTGGACAAAATGTATGTTTTTATTTTCTAAGGACAATAACGTACCGTTGTGTTTGTGTAACAAGCCCCGCTATGCAGGGCGCGATGACAGATAGTATTCCTGCAAAACAGGAGAAATGATGAACAACCAAATTCTTAGCTGCTCGTTTGGCGGGTCTTGTCAGAATTTATTATTCATTTGGCACACACAATTGTTAATGCCCTTAACCATTTGACACAACACACACACAATTGTTAATGCCCTTAACCATTTGACACAACACACACACAAAATACTTAGGATATATACCCGGAAAATATGTAAGTACAAAATGTATAGGAGCTGTAAACAATTCCATTTACTTGCATTCACTTTGATCAAAGCTCAGTTATGCTACATTAAAATAGCGACCGCCATTACACACACACAGCAACCACGAGGCAGTCTCCTACGCAGCATTGAAGACAATAAATAACGTCCAAACATCACTTCAAACACTAGGACATCGTGACACAACACTACCGTGGATTCTTATAACACTTGTGACAATATGTACACAAAACTGACCTGCAAAACAGGAGAAATGATGAACAACCAAATTCTTAGCTGCTCGTTTGGCGGGTCTTGCCAGAATGGCAAGCCAACGGCAGCACCGTCTCCACATCAGTCCGTTTACGGCAGGCGCAAATCACAACAAACCCGTTTACGGCAGTGTTAACCTGCCATCTACTGCCCCCTGCTGTCCATTGTTAAACAGGTTTCTAAAATGATATTAAATATAAACATACAATTGTGATCACACACTGTGTGGGTCACATTTGTTTAGTTTAATGTTAATTATTTAATGCTCACAGTCACAGCAATATGTTTTTTGTGTGATTGGCTATTTGCAGTGGCGAGCCGTGACTTTTATACCTAGGCCCTCTGACCCCCACCCCTTCCCTCGAGTTATTATGTCACAGCAGAGTATACTTCAGCGGAATATCAAAACAACGGCCCGGGGTGCAAAACGCATCAATGAAAGCGACCCTCTACCACACAAAACAACACCTGTAAATAACCCTATTTGTGTTCTTTGAAATTGAAAAGGATATTGCATTGTGTTTGTTACTTTCGTTGCAGTTGTATGTCTTAAGTGTAATTTGGCATGCTTTTATTTTGAAGGGTTAACGCTGTTGACAGGAAGTTGTTGTTGCTATGGAAACAAGAAAAGTTGCACAGCGGGCGGAACTTGTCATAAAGTCCGCGATAATAACACCCACCCATTTAGAGGGAAGATATGATTGGTCAATTGTACTGTCATTTGACATTACTCTCTCGTTTTAGTTACTATAGCGGGCCCTCTGTGAATTCATAGCTGGAAGTCCAACAGCTCCTGTCTTCACAGACTCGCAGAGAGGGGCTTCTTTCATTTAACCCTTCACATTCCAACAGAAACTGAATAGGCAGATTCGAAGGATTTATTTCTTTGGAAATGTTATTTTAAATACAATTAAATCAAGTTATTTTGGTAAAACTAATGACAAATATAACTAAAATGTTTTTAAATATTATTTTGTAGAATATCTTAGGCCCTCACAGAGTTTTTTTAAGTTTAATGTTTCACATCGCTTATGAAAAATATACTATCACTATACGATCACTGATATTTTGTTGTTGACTGGACACTTCTTTTTTAAAAGAGATAGCATGTGAGGATCTCTTAAGCAATGAAGCTCACATGTCCTTTTTATATGCTGTCCATTGAAATGCAGGAAAGTAATCACCAACTGTGAGTAATGAATCAGGATCAACTGTGTACTACTTACTGTAAGGTAGCTTATAGCTTCATGTCGAACACTGACAGTAAGTCAACATTTCCCAGAGAGCTTTCTTTGAAATCACCAAGTAACGCTAAAAAACACAACATTTATATTGTATGACAAAGTGTTTATTTAATATATCTGGCTAGCTATAGCTACTTGCTAACGGTTTAGCTTACCCGCGCGATTCAAAGTAACGTCAACGTAGCTGTAATTTATGCTTTGCTTACATGTTCGCATAACTTGTACATTTACTGACAGGTACATAACTTGTTCACCTGGCTCAGGTGGTGGCTCTGGGGTTGTTGTGTGAGCCACCACTTGAGAATTGCCGTCTTTTTTATTAAAAAAATGTCTAATGTCCATCTTCAGAAACTCCGCGTCCGGGGCTGACAATTTAAAGTTTAAACATTCTCACAGAGGAGAGGTACGTACCTGTCAGCCAATAAAACACGTTTATTTCCATGCAACTCTCTGATTGGTCTGGTGGCGTCGTCTTGCCTCTGTGTTGCATTCACTAAACATGGGAAATTACAGTCCTGCCGTCCGTCCTATAGGTAAAGTAGGTTAATGTATTATATTATTGAGGGAGAATTAGTCCGGGGCTAAAGAAAAAACATCCGGGGCTAAAGCCCCGGATGCCTACCCCAGGCGACGCCCCTGAACTGTACCATCCACCCACCTGACAACTTGGCGATGAACATAATGGTTTTCTGGGATGCCAGCTGAGTGTCATCTCTCATAATGCCCTCCTGTGGCCGCATACACACCTTCAGACAGATACGATAAATAGAGTAGGCTCAACAAAAAAAACGACAAAAAACGCTGTTGTTACATAAACGAAAGGAAATGTATCAAAGTAAACTTTGATGTCAATCTTTCAGTTTGTGTGTAGGCCTACAGACAGAGAGATCGAAATAACAAACATAAAATAATACAAATATATAATTATACAAATATGATAATACTTCATCCCTGATTATTCCTACAATTCAGATTGCCCTATTAACCAATCTTCCTTTTGTCTGCTCCTGTTTGTCTTTCTAATGATGCCACTCTGTTTTAGCGGCCCTCTATCTATTATATCTGCAAACTTGAATGCACCACACAGATACATTGTTCATCATGGTGCATTCCATGAATCAACCTAGACTGAATCTTTGTACATTTATTTTTATGGTATTGCAAAAAAAATGACAGCCTGAAATTGAGCATATCACCTTAAATCATCAATAATTGTTGTTGGTCTCTAAAATATTCAGAATTCTGCGCAGCGCTACTTTAATTCCTCACAGTGACCCCTCTTCCACTTGCCTTTCAGCATCATTTATGATCACAGTATGATTATGATTACAGTATCTTCTTGATTTTTTATATTCTATATTTCTATCATTGACCTTCTACTTTCCCCCTATTTTTTGTGTACTCTTGATATTTTTTTCATCAAATATAACATATTAAAAAAACAATTCAATAACTTGCTTTAACCACTAGGCGGTGCACACAAGGTACACACAGCCATAACAACTTTGTATTATTAGTGTAGGACACTTATGTATGTAGTACAACATCTGAAAATGTGTAGTTTTATTCATGCTTTCACATAATTTTACAGGATATTGCCATATTATTTCACATGTTTTACTTCTACACATTAATATCTGATTTGTAAAACATCACAGACAGAAAGGTATCCGTCATTTAATGGTAATATATTGAAATTCTGATTCCATAGATGTGTCTCCCATCACCCAAAACCCCGGACTATTCTCTCAACTCAGTATTTACATTCTTTAATTCAAAGAAAATCAGTAATATCTTTAAAAACGACAAGTCCTTTATATCAGCTGTGCACCGTTATGGTGTAAATTTAACCTATCTACCAATTGGATCAAATATAAAAGTCAGCCGAATTAGTGTTGATACTGCAAGGAGACGTATTGTGTGAAGAGAAATTGCTGATATATTTATGATCAACGTCACATATTCAGTTTCGGCGGCATTTCTTCCAGTTTTTCCAAAGGTCTTCTAATCAGGGCTCTATAAATAAAGAACTACGGCAGATGTGTAATATTTAATGCAGCCGAACTGTGTATTACAATGCCGTTATGTGATGACTTTCAAAGACAAAAGCAAGCACACTCGGAATAAAGTATTATTTTCTTCTTTTAAAAAAAAAGGTTTTTCGGATTTCATATCCATTAACACCATATCCCAACGTGTATTGCGGCTAAACAATCCAATCACCGAGCTTAAACCATAGCTGAGGATCTTGGGTAATCAGTTCAGTGGGTTTGTAAGGTTTGTATCTGTTTCCGGTTATTTTATTTTGAAATTCAGTTCCTGACGGACGCCAAAAAAGCCCGAGATTATAGAATTAAACAAATAAATAAAAACAAGGATAATGGTGTGTTATTGGTGAGTAAATAACAGTGTGTTATTTAGAAAATAATCAGAAATTAGAAGGAAAAAAAGATTTAAAAAATACAGATTTCAGTATTCTGAGGCTCTGAGCCCCATTTCTTTTCCTTATTGACGGCAAAAAAAGTCCGACATTATACGATTTAAAATAAAAAACAATAATCGTGGCTTGATATTGAGTAAGAACATGTTTTTATGAACCCCACAGCTTCCGGTCTTCCAAGACTCAACCGGACAAAAAGACGTGCTGCAGGCACGAAACATACTACCAATAGAAATACATTGCTTTTAAAATCGTTCTGTTTGACACGAAAAAAAAGGGGGAAATCGTGTTGGTGAACACGAATCAATAGATTAAATATCATGACTATAACTAACACGAAATGCTGTGAGACTGGGTTGAAATAATACAGCGCACAAGTCGAAAGTTTCATGCAATTTTTGTTAACATGTGAGCTGAAACAGTTTTTATCCATTCATGGAGGGGTGGCCTTGTTGGATTCCGGGACAGGGACTCAACTCCCTCTGACTGAGCGACAGGCTGTCTGCGTCAGTGCACCATGAACCGAGCTGCTGTGGGGTCGCCCCGCAGGACTCCCTCAGCCCCAGTATGCAACATCTCTAACCCACCTTGGCCTTCGACCAGCACTTCACCACAACTGCCACAGGAAAACTCCACCTGGCTGAGATAGTAAGTGTGAATATGGATTTTAAGATGTTCTCTTCAGTGTTTGAAGAGAAATTGTTCCCAAATTAGACATAAAAGAGACGACTTGATCTGCGTTTGGGTTGTTTCTGAGCTACAGTACTGCCCATATGAGATTCATGTGAATAACAGCATCATTTTTATGTAGTTTAAAGAGAAAAAAAAATTCCGATGAAAATAGGAAATAAATCAAAGACAAAACAAGCAAACCCCGTCTTCCTCCTTTCTCTCCCTTATTGTGTTTCTTCCTTTCCAAATCAGCTGAGGAAAAGAGACAGGACGGCCTCTAAATACAGTCTGGCTGGCTGCCATGCAGAGGCTGGGCAGGCCTCACTGAGTCATTTGATGACAATCAATTGAAACATGGGGAAATCCTACAAGAGTTTCTATTTTAGGAAAGTAGAAACCTACCATGCTTAAAGGCGCGTTCTTTGCACGAATCTTGTATCATGAAACAGGAAGAGCGGGTTTGGAATAGGTTTGGGTGTTCGGAATTTGGAAATGATTTATTGATCAACAAATACATTCGCCCAAAAGGTTTCTATCAACATTGACCTGATGTGACACTGTGGTGTTTTTTTAAGTTAGATATTTTTCAAGTGACGCTTCAAAATGCTTCACTTTGTGTTCCATATTGGTGACTTGAAAATATGTATCTGGTGAAATCAATGAGGGGTTTGAAGTGTTTACCTGAATGTATTCTTTCTTTTCTCCACACTCACATGCACTCTTTCTGTCCTCTCTCCTCCAGGTGTTTGGTATGTTGGTGTGGATTCTGGTTGGGGGTACAGAGTATTTTCATCCGTCTGCTCTCTGCTGGGTGATGTTTGTTGCCATTTTGTGCTGGGTTCTGACCATTTGCCTGTTTATAATGTACCTCACTGGAGCCCACAACAGGATACCACAGGTCCCCTGGACTACACTGGTAAAACAAACACACATTTCAGTTTTCGGCTTTCTTTTTTTGCATTTTTACCAACTTGTCTGACTGCCTTGTCTCTTTATCTGTTGATCTTCAAGGCGCTGTGCTTGAACTGCAGTGCTACAGCTCTGTATCTGGTGTAGTAGATTTTCTCTCAGTCAACCAGGCTGTCAGGGGGAGACACAACTACAACTGCTGGGCAGCATCTGCAGTAAGGGCACTTCTCCCCAACTTGTTGTAATGGTATACTGTATGTGTTTACAAAAGATAAATCACCAGGACTCCAAGATGGTGTCCTCAGTGTGGTATTTTTAAACATTTTTCTCTTAGGAAAGCCTCAGAAAACAGTATTTAACAGGTTTTTGTATGTCCTTGTGACAAGTATATCAGTCTTTGTTTGTAAAAGAGAATTTCAAAATATTTTAAAAATGAAATCAAACTCGTCATCTCCTGATCCTGATTCCGATATTCAGGGTATCTTCTGATCGGACACCGGTGTTCTCTTGTCCCAGAGTTAAAAAGTATGTATCTCATTGTGTAGAACTTCCTGACTCAGCTGTCAATGTTACAAGAAGGGACACTTGTTTATTTTTTAGCAAAAGATCATTGTAGTTTCAGGCTTAATTTTGGTTTTATTTATAGTGAACAATGGTTTCGGACTTTAAATAAATGTCCTCCTTTTCATTGTTTCCCCGCCCCTCTTTATTTCCACATGACCCATGTCCTTTTTTTTCTTTTCTTCCCATTTTCACCACCTCTCACACTTCAGTTATTTGCATTTCTGACCACACTGTGCTATGCAGGAAGCAGTTACCTGAGCTACTGTGCCTGGAAAACCGCAGAAGAAGGACAGTAGTTTGTTACTTGCTGAAGGCAACAATGAGAAGATCTTCTCTGAGTAATGTTTCTGATACCTTCACAGCAGGTCAAGGCTGCAGTCAAATTAACTGTCATATGTTCAGCAGAACGTCATAAAGTCAGATGTCACATGTTTTATGTGAAGTGCAGCGATACACGAACAAATAAAAATAATATGTCCACAATCCTGCACACAGTAGTTTTCAGTAATTTTATGTTAATACAATACAGCTTTATTTATAGAGCACTTTAAACCTCCAGACCAAAGTGCTGTACAGGCAAATAAATAAAACAAAACATACAAAAAAATAACAGCACAGCTCACACACCATAAAACAAGTAGGCTACAAGTAAAAACAATAGACAATTTAAAAGCAATAAAAGCAACGCTCTAAAAGATGTTAATACGCTAAGGAGTAGAGGTGGGTTTTAAGAAGCGTTTTAAAAGCAGGCAGTGTGGCGGCCTGTCTGATGTGCATGGGCAGATCGTTCCACAGTGTGGGAGCCGCTACAGAGAAGCAACGGCCCCCTCTGAGCTTTGACTTGGTTCTGGGCACGTAATCCAAGTATAATTTGCCCCTGATATACGAAATAAAGTTAAAGACATTGAGTATATACTTTTTGCAGAAGACCAGAGTGTGTTTGTTTACATACAACCAACTTGCTTTGAATGTGTTTGTTGTTATTCATTTTGCATAATAGCCACAATGTCATAAGAAAAACGGAGTACCTTAAAACGCAACGAACGGTAATGAGGCTGAGATTGAACATCACATTCAAATCAAAAATAATTTGTATACATATATACATTGTTATCCTACAGTGGGCATTCCTAAACCTATATGAGGTCATTATTAAATCAAAGTCATCACCGCTTTGTTTCCTTCATTGCTGTATAAGTGCAAACGGTTTTTAATTAAAACACTGCTATTTCCAAGTATTGTCTACGAAGTACAGGTTTCGTAGATCCTGTGTGTTTCACTTCACCACACAGGGTCAGAAACGTAGCTTCTCTTGAACATTTTTTTTGTGTGTAGTTTAAAAATAATCCATTAATAAACAGAGGTATTGATACACACAGCGATATCATATTATCACATTAAACAAACTGTATTCCATATTATTCCATGATAAAGATAAAGGTTGATTATTCCCAGTTCCTGGATCAGTCCTGGTTGGTGCTGTTGTATTGAGCCTGGGGGACGGCCCAGTGAGCAGCAATCGAAAGGAGCCCTGCAGTGTTGTAGGTGCCGCTCAAAATCACTAGCTTTTGGCCCGGGTGGGATGGGTAGAAGTTAAAGGACAGCTGTAAGAGATCATCAACAAGTTAATACCTAACAATAAGTACTTGCATTGATAATTGCAGTGGTGGAATGTAAGATAAATAATCAAATAATCATTTAAGGTATTTTTCATTTCCTTCTGCACTCTACTACAGTAGAATTCACAGACAAATATTACATTTGTAACTTCACTACATGTGTCTGACAGTTTTAGATCCTTTAAAAATGCATTATTTTCCAAACAAAACATATGGAAAGCTGTAAAAATAAGATGTTTTGTAATAAATTAGCGACTCATCAGTTTACACAATGCAGCTAAAATCATTAGTCTATTCATTTGACGGAATAGAGACAGTAATATCCTGCATTTAAATAAGTGCATATAAAAATAATCTAATTATTTAATATATCACCGTATAACAGTCACAAGGAGGTGTTTCTCTATATAATTTACATTTAGTTTTAATAGTTTAAGTGCAGATTAATCTTCATTTCACTTAAATAACATTTAATGCAGGGCATTTACTTGTTACATAGTTATTTTAAAGTGTGATCATTAAAGATCAGAATACTTCTTCCATCATGGTGTAATTGAAACAAACACAAATTGTAGAGGAAGGTATTTACTGTATTGGGCTGGCCGACAATCAGAGAACGCCCACTGGAGGTCACGAAGATCAGCTGATAGATGTAGTTGGATCGGTATTTCCCAGAGACCTGAAACATGTCCGTGAGAGCACAATGACATGTTAGTGCGTGTGGTTTGTCCCCAGTGAGCAAACAAATGATGTATTTTTTTTTAACGATAGATGAATATAGTGTTATTAAATACAGTACAGTACTAATTAAAAAAATACTACTATTCATATTTAGCCAACCTTTATTACAGATGATGTGTATGATCTTTAGAAAGTGTGTTTATAAATGTCAATAAATAGTACAATGCATTGTCTTGTCAATGTTCAATGTATTACTTTAATATTATAAAGTCTCTCACCTGAATAAAGGACTCTCCTTCATTCAGGATCAGCTCTTGTACAGAGTTCAGTTCACGACCAACCATTTGTCCCCAACTAAATCCATAGCGCAGCTGCAAACTGCAAGGACACAGCCAGGAGTGAGGAAACACAAACAATGATTTATACAAGGGCAATATTTGACAGAAGAATGATCAGATTGAAACTATTTGGTAACCAATAGATGGATATTGTGCTAGAACAAGTAGAAAAACATTGAAATAGAAAGCAGATCAATGGGGGTTAACCCTATGGTTGAATTTTGCACTTCCATAGCACATTAAACTTTCCATGGATCCTCCCCTTATTGCAGAAAAGGTTACTGCAACTATCCGTGCTAACAGTGGTGGTTACCTAAATAAAAGCAATAATACTACGCTGTACAAAAAGTATGAAAGTATGAGGAAAATGTATTTCAAGTATAAGGAGTAAAAAGTAGTAATTGCAGATTTTTTTTTAAATATGTTAAAAATAAATGTAAGTATTCATAAAGAAATACAGCAAATCTCAACATTTGAAAAGCTGGAACTGTGAAATGTTTTTACACAAAATGACATTAAAAAAAAGTAAAATAACTGGCCAAAATATTTTTTGTCAACCTCTTGTTTTAGGTGTACTTAAATATAACGTTGGGTAGTTTAATCTACATCAATACATATTATTTCAAAGGTTCTGTATTCGTTTTGTGTCTTAAAATCTGAATCCATACAGTAACTAGTTAATAAAGCTATGAAATAAATGTAAAGTAAAAAGGACAATATTTCACTTTGAAATGTAGTGGAATATTATAATGTGCACATGAAGAAAATACTTAATTAAAGTTGAGGTACCTTACATTTGAACAGAATTTAAGTTAATATACTTTATTACATTTCATCACCTCCTGCTAATATTTCTTAAACAAGAAAAATCGATTCAATAGTTACGACCCATAAAATGATAGGATCCCCCAAATTGCACATGCAATATGGCATTTATTATTCACATTTGTGTTAAAGAAGGAGGACAGACTGACCCAGCGATGTAACTGTTGCTATTTTCCCAGAGTCTGATCCCTGTGATTGGTCCATTTTCATTTTCTGTGGCGAATGCCGTGCCTCCACCATTACCAACAGCGGGGGAGAAGGAGTACTGAGGCAAGGGAGCTGGAGAAGTAAAATATGTGTTATGTGAGAGGAAGCCATATGCTTATATACAAATATGTTATTTAAATCTTTATATCTTACCAGTCATGCAGCTGGCCCAGAGCACCGCAAGGAACAGGAAGGAAAGCATTCTGGTGGGTGAATGAGTCCAGAACAACACTGAAATCTGATTAAACAACGACATTCTTCTTTAAGAAGCAACAATCTGTACATGAATTAAAGCCAGTGTGAATTATAATAGAGGCATTGGAATTTAAATGAACTCTACCCGTTAACACAGTAAGATGCTAATACATTTTATTTGAAAGTCCATTTTCAACAACTGCACAGATGCTCACCTGCAAAGTAGATCTCCTGAAACCAGCTTGAGTCCTGAGCAAAGTGTGGGATGGCACTAGAAGACTGGCATTTATATATGTATATACACACACACACACACACACACACACACACACACACACACACACACACACACACACACACACACACACACACATTCTTACATGACACACACATTCTTACATGACACACACATTCTTACATGACAGTCTTTGAAAGCTGAACAATAGCAGATAAGTGTCAGATGGTTTAAACTGATCCAGGAAGACATAGTGATGATGACCATATTGTTTAGTGTCACACACTTACAGGAAAAAGAGTCATCTGTGCTTTACCATGCTAAACCAGTTTGGTGTCCTCTGTATCTTCCATTAATGTCCTACAGTACAGTTTATACCCCAGTTTTTTTATTATTATTTTGTTTCATTGAGATATATTTCAAAAGTCGTGTTTTAGTTGGAGAAGTAGTTTGCAAGGCAGTCCCACCTTGAAGACACTTTTTATAGAATTTCGAATTTTCATCTTTATTGGCAAATAGAGTTTAGCCAGTTTTGAAAATGTAGATCCATCCATCCATCAAACGTATTCGGGGTCAGATCGCAGAGGACTTCCCTTTCCCCAGCTACATAAACCAGCTCTGATTGGGGGATTCCACGGTGCTCCTTGGCCAGCGTTGAGATTTTATCCCTCCACCTGGTCCTGCTGCCCCTTGGTCTCCTCCCAGCTGAACGTACCTGGAACACCTTACCTAAGGAGGCAGAAAAACAAGTCTGCTTGTGCTGTTTTGAAAAGGATACATTGCAAGTATTCAAAGGTGTGTCAAGGAGGAGACACAAAAGCACTATAAAATAAGGCTTTAATTTTTAAACATGTTTCCCTGTGAAATAACCCTCGTGGAGTAGGACAATAATTGCTCAGGTCTCAGAATTATTTTTACATTTTAATTTATAAATGAATCTATCCTTCAAATATATGGCCTGATATGAAATCCATTTGAAAGTTTATTAAGCCAGAATTCAATTAGCACAACATATAATTCTTCTGTTAAAATGGACATTGAGATTGTTTCCCTGACTTGAATACATGATTTCCAACCCTTCAATATAAAACCAGGAAATGACATGCGAGGAAAGTTCCACAGCCGTGTTTTAAGTGTTTCTACTGAAATAACCTTAGCATTAAGACACACACTTCCTAACAACATACTGTAAGTTCCTGCTTTCGAACTTGGCAACAAGTATGTATATGGAAAAAATATATAATAATAATATTAATTATATATTCAACATGTTCCTCAGATCATGTTAGTGTATGTGCGACGTGCGTATGCATGAACAGAAAAACTTGCTAGGAATTCCAAACAGATCACACCCTTTTCTTTTTGCATCTTTTTATATTTCTTCCCTCCCTCTTGTTTTCTTTTCACCTCTCCCTCCCTTCTTCTTTTTGTTCAGTTTAGTCATTACATTACTTTTTTTTCTCTCATGCTGTTCCCTGTTACCTATCTGTGTCCTTTTAATGTTTGCAAACCAATTACATCTGTTGTTGACCCTACCCCTACACCCTACCCCTGACTACCTAACCCTACACCCTAACCCCTGACACCCTAACCCCTGACACCCTAACCCAGTGGTTCTCAAAGGGGCACAGAGTCATGCCAGGGGGGGCGCGAGAGACCAGGAGGACATATGGTTATACAAAAAAAAAAAAAAAAAGATTAAAAAAAAAAAATTCATACATTTAAAAATTATTTTTTCGAAAATAATTTGATGCAGTACTATTACGTCTGGGTCTCTGTATTTCATTAAAGCTAGGCTCTGTGTGTGTGTGTGTGTGGAACGAGCCATTTTGTGTGCGTGAGAGAGAGAGAGCGCACCGGTACCGGAGATCGTTGTTGTTAGCTTCTGGTGCTAGCGAGCTACGCTAACGGATATAAGGAGTTTGTTCCACAACAAAGTGGAGGAGAGTCTTCTCCTGTCAGACTGAGAGACTCAGTGAACTAAAGGACTCTCTGAGTGTTTAGATAGTTAACTTTAGTCTAAGTTATCTCAGTGGGTCTCAAACGTTTTGGTCACGATTAATGTAAACAATTATTTCCGAGGCACACGTTTATATGATCATTATAGTTATACAAAAATAAGAGAATAAATGAAAAACAGGTATGAAATACTATATGACAGTAAAACAAGAATACAGTTTAAAAGGGTGATTTGTAAAATATCCATAAAGAAAAAGGAAATCTGTTTACAGTTCTGTTTCAAATGGGTGTTGAGAGATGTATCCATAGATCTCTTCATTTTGCTCTCAAAGTGCATCAGATTGATGCATTTAACTTCAATATTTAAAAATAAATCTTCCCGGGGGAACTTGCCCCCGGACCCCCCTATGTGAGGTCCACACACCACCTATAAAAATAGCACTTGACCCCTGCTTACACCTATATGCCGTGAGCTGATTATCGAGCCTTCATTGTAACTGTCACACTGTGTATATGCGTCGGGATCGTTGCAGTAGAAAATTCCACTGTAGCGACTGGTAAATGAATGGGAAACCCTAAATGTTTGAGCACCCTCTATGAAACGTCAAGCTACCCCACAGCACCCCCAAAACAAATCTCTGGCGCCGCCACTGAGCCTGACTATTTGTGTTGGGGGGGCCCGACTTTTTTTTTTCTCCAAAGGGGGGGCCTGACAGAAAAGGTTTGAGAACCACTGCCCTAACCCCTGACACCCTAACCCTACACCTTACCCCTACACCTTACCTCTACACACTTCTACTAGTGGGGAATAGGAGTGGGTTATCAAGCCCTCCAACAGCAAGACTGCATCGGTCCTGACTTACCACCTGCACTACCTGACCGGACACATGATGAAACACGCTGTTTACAAACAGCTCCATGCAAACATTTACTGGAAAACCACGCAAAACAAGAACCACTTCATGGTTGTGAACATGCACAATTCTGAAAATGTCAAACTATTCCTTTAAGTAGGTCATGCTTGTTTTTGAAGACCATTTGCAGAATTTGACATGTTCACATAATGCAGAAAACAACTTAAAGATATTCCTTCGACAACATATTTATTAACCTGTTAAGCCCGGAACCTGTTTTTCAGGTCTCAGGCTCGAAAATGACATTCCCAGAACAAATGACTATATCTTCACTTCTAAAAGGGGTAAATTAATAATCTTTTTTCTCAAAGCAAGGATAAACCTGTGATTTGGATGTAGAGGATTCAGAATCAATATAGAATTTTTTTATTTCAAAGTAAATTCAGATTGAACATAGTAAAACAATGTAAATGATAGTGTCCGTCCAGAAAAAAACCATTACTTATAGTGAAAACCACCCTTGAATGATGGGATAGTAGACTAAAAGCTTTAGGAATCCAAACTATAACATATAATAAGTACCCTGTATCAAGATTGATGCAAAAAAGTGACATTTGATCTTATTAGAGAGGTTAAGCAAAAAAAACAACTCCGTTTTTCAGGGGTTTTGACAAAAATGGAATGATGGATTATCATTAATCATTTCAAAGTGACACAGACACATTGGATTAACCTTCAGCAGCGTTGTTCTCGTTGTAATGCCATTGAACACAACTTTTGATCAGAAAACAGCAAAGGTAAGACATATTTGGCTCAGTAAAGCTACGCTGTGTGTTGTCTGGGTTTGCCTGAGCTGCCGCGAGTTTTGGTCGCACAGTGATGATAGGTATACCGCTAGAATCTGTGGAATCTCAGCTTTAATCTGATATCTTGTGAAGTTCCGATAAGTAATACATTATTTCTACCGTGAGTTCTGTGCTAAGTGTCGCTTCAATTTGTGTCAACCACAGACCTTATTTCGAGCTATTTTCCAAAATCCTATGGAGAAATTGCATTGGTTTTTGTCGAAGGAACCGGAAGTGGTAACATGCTAACTTATTTCCGGGTTTTAGGATGCGTCACTGTGGCACTCTATTACCCCAGATCCTGTGGCCTCTGCTATAAGCAGTGCCAATAACAGTCGAGGCCTGTAAGAAATTAAAATCAATGTTTATATGGTGTAATTTAAATTAAATACACTGTTTTAATTAAAGCTGTTTTATTCTGAAAACCGGAAGTTTACATACACTGTTTTAATTTAAAACTGCTATATTCTGAAAACCGAATGTTCAGAACATGACTTCCGGTTTCCGGCAGTAATAGACGTCATTTCCGGTTAGCATTAGCATGTGGCTAAATATTACGTTTTCTAAGAAAAAGTTAATTTAAGATGAAATGACACGTAGTGTTGCACACTAAACACACTGACTTTGACGCTGAGATGTTATTATTGCTGAATATTAAATGAATGCACCGTTTTATTTTAAAAAGCTTTATTTAAAAGGAAAACCCCGTTGTTCACATGACTGTTATGTCTCGTAAAATCTGTAAAGTTAATGTTTTTAGTTCAGTCTTGTATCCTTATTTTGTAGTAACCTTTCCTTCTTGTTGCAGATTACCTCACTTCCTCCCTTTGTGTGTTTTCCCTCCACTGTGATTGTCGACTCCGCCCTAATTCTAACCCTATCTCCTATTCCTTGACCTCTGAGTGAAACGTCACGGGGTTAAGGGATAGTGGATAGGAGAATTCAAAAGGACTTGGGAGAAGAGACTGCGGTACTTTAGAGAATCCGAATGCACTTTCACTATCCGACGTGTTTATGATGCGTCAGCGGACGTCATGGTGTGCGTCTGCTGCTGTGGAGAAACTATGGAAACTACAGGGTTGCGTTAGAGGTCAAGGAATAGGAGATAGGGTTAGAATTTAGGAGCTGATTTTTGGATTATCGGAACGCAACCTCTGTCTCCCTTGTCTGGTTGCCAGTTCGTTCCGTCCCATGTGCCTGACTGCCAGCGTGAAGTCCATGTTATATTTCACACAGGCTCCGCCCTCTACTGGACTATATGGGTACTACTCTCTATCATGCTATGCATGCTTTGACCTACTGAGTTTACGTAAACGTAGCCGGCCAATCGGGGCGAGCCTACCTGAATGCGCGCGCAGGCCCACAGTATATAAAGGTGGCTACACCCGCCGCCCACT